GCGGGTATTAAGCCAGCAATGGTTCCACCATATAATTGTTCAAAAGCTGCATTAATTAGTTTAACAAAAGAAGCGGCTAGAGAATATGGTAAATACCATATAAGAGTTAATGGCATTGCTCCTACAGTTGTATTAACACCAATGATGGAAAACTATATTGAAAATTGTTCGGATCCCAACCAGTTGCGTAAAAGAATTGAATGTTGTAATTCAATACCGGGTTTGCCAACGCCACAAGATATAGCAGCAGCCGTTGCCTTTTTATCAAGTGATGATGCGAAATTTATTTCTGGTGTTATATTGCCAGTTGATGGTGGCTATTTAACACAGTAACAAAATAGTCAAAAATTGTGTACTCATTGATATATAAATAATAAACTAACTTGTCGCACTATACTATTTTTTTCTGCATGAATGATAGTTTTATTTTGATTTCGATATCACTACTAGTAATACTTTGCATATTCCAAAAGACAACTATAAAAACCTGAATGTTCGCAACACACGGGTTGTCGATGCAGTGCATAAGCTTAATGGAGATGAAAGTTCAACAGAATAAAGACAAAGTTTGTCTGAATTTACTATAAGAACAAAAGCAAAAGCTGATATAAGATGCAAACATTTAAATGTTTCTTACAAGAGAAGTACCTGAACTGTTAATCGCCGATCGAGCTGATATTTTGTCCATAAGTAAGACCCTATGAGACTAATTAGACCTCTAAAAGGATTCGTCGCATACTCATCAAAATGCCCTAAAAATTCCAGCCAAAAAGAATGTTTTCTTCTCGAGATATTGAATGTCTGGAAAACGATCATATGCCAACAGAAAAAGTCAGAAATCGAGTTTCTCCTAAATCGAGTACCCTCCCCTCGTTAGTAACTGTTCAAACCGACATTTTTTAAACAAAAAAAAATTTCTGATCTACGTGTTTAACGATCCAGTTTGTATGCTCTAGAATCGGAGTTTTGTGCTTGAACTCTCTTTGTATAAAATGAAATTCACTAAAATATTAAAATATATTCCTATTCAATAACATTTTATTCGTAAGGCGCCAGTAATTCAAAATTCAGCTGAATTATATTTTTCTTAAAAGCACATCACTCGATGCAGTTTCAGCTGGTGATCACGACTCTGGCTTTCGTTTTTCGTTTTTTGACCGAGTTTTCAGGGAGAAAAAACTCGGTCAGGGCCCAAAACTGTGAATATCTCAAAAACGCCGAAAACTAACTTTTTAGAAAATCACGATTATCTCCTCACGACTTAGCTTTCTGATCTCACCAATGTGATTTTCGGATTCTTCGACTAAAACTGAGTCTAGTTATGTGGTCTAGCTCATAATAGTAAATATCGTACAGGCTATAGAAATTCAAAGATCAGTGGTCCTGCGTTTCGGCGACCTAATTTGGCAGCCCTATCTAGTTTTTTCGGTGAAGATCTGTTTTGAAGCTGTTTTCTATTTATTTATTTTTTTCTTTATCTCGAATGCCGCCGTGTGCTGACTAACAGGCCATCCAGTCAGATGTCACCGAAAGGTCATTTATCATTTTAAAAGCGAAGGCAACAATATTCAGGAAAACTGATTTTGCCATTCAATAGAGCTCATCGAGTTCTATCTGGCACACTTATTTCCAAAGATGGCACAGCTTTAACTTTGCAAAGAAAGATCGTGTAGAGCTGGGAGATGCCTCGTTTTAATCAGAAATTTATGGACTACAATTACGCCTCATTAAGAAAGCTTTTGGTTGTTCTTTAGAGTTTCTCGAAAACTGGTTT